TAAGGAACGAGATCACAGGCGGCAGCAAGTTGAACAGTCTAGGTCTACTGTTACAAAAGATGGGTGAATACAGAAAAGCAGAGCAGTACTATATTATGTTGCTGAACGAGACTTCTGCAAACGATCCAAGCATCCCGACATTTTACAACAATCTTGGAAATGTTTACAGTACCATGGGTGACTACTCAAAGGCCTTGAGTTATTATGAAAAGACACTGGAACTGAAGTTGAAAACACTGGGACCGAACCATCCATCTGTGGCTACGACATACAACAATCTTGGACTGATTTACAGTGACATGGGTGACTACTCCAAGGCCTTGAGTTATTATGAAAAGACACTGGAACTGAAGTTGAAAACACTGGGACCGAACCATCCATCTGTGGCTACGACATACAACAATCTTGGACTGATTTACAGTGACATGGGTGACTACTCAAAGGCCTTGAGTTATTATGAAAAGGCTCTCGAAGTTATGCGGAAATCGCTCCCGGCTACTCATCCTTCTATCAATATGTGTGAAAGAGCAGCAGCTGACATGAGTCAGAAACTGATGAGATGTTCATAACTTCTCAAAAGCAGATGATTATTGTGAAGTAATAAATCAGAAACTAGATGGATGTCTGTAAAGTAGAGTATCGGTCATGGTTTCATAATTCGGAAAGCATTCCCGCAACATTTAATAGTCTTAATTATTTTATTATCTCTGACTGTTTCAGTGGAGGTTCTCACAGATTTAAATCGATTAATCACGATGTCTTTTCTAGCATAGTTATTATTTAGAATCACCGATACCTGTGGAACGGCGCAGTTTGTAGAAAAACGTTTATATATTTGTTGAAATAAAGGAAACACAAAAGATGAGCATTATGAAATGCCATAGACCTACACGACAAATAGTTACTGGTTATATAACTATTCTGCATCTTCAGTAATCCGCTTGAAAGTTACATCCTTTAATTTTGACGTTTCGTGCAAACATACAATAAATCTCTCTGGAGACAAATCTGAAAATACTGAAACCTGTCTGAAATTGTGGATTTATAAGTTGATAATTCTTGTATTAATTTAGAGATTTCATTTTCTTTTTCCAAAGCTAAATCATTCATTTGTTGTTGAACGGACATTAATTCATGTTTTAATACATCAACATCGTCACGTGATGGTCTAAAAATGTGAATAACAATGTTTTTGAATAGCGAAAGTATTCCACGAACAGGACATGCATTTAGTACACATAAGAACCATTTTCCCATGTTATGTCACGTGTCCACATGACTTATAAAACTTATTATCAGAAAATATTGAAACAATTCTATAAAAAAAATCTTCGCTCATTGATATCAACAGGATTCCGTATATTTCTAGTATATAAAGTTAAAATAGAATTGTCAAACAAGACTTATCTATTTTAACAATCAATGGCACAATATAGACTACAAAACTCAAGTTAAAAAATCTATCTATTTCCTTTTTAATAGTAGTCTGTGTAAGTGGAAGCAAAGAAGAAGGAAGAATACCCCATCTTGCGGCTACCAGTTCCGATATAGGATGCTGCCAAATGGCCGTTTCAATAGTCCGATATCTTTCCTGCAATTGATAAGCTTCTGATATGGCCACCCATGTCGTTACTAGTCGTCAACCACAGTTCTGGACAGAAGTCGAAGGTTAGCCTGACGTAGAGTTCCTCCTCATACACACTCACTAACCACGTACTAGCTTTTCGAAAAAGCTATGCGAACTAGCCACAGGAACTGTATTCTACGTCACAACGTAGTGAGTATACCGTCGGACGGGTGATCGGAGATGCTAAGACATAAGTAACTTATCCAAAGTTATTAAATGACCTGGCGGCGCCGAGGCTCAAACACAGTACATTTTGCAGTACGTGAGGAACAACATATCCACTAAGACATGCTGTCTTATGTAAGTAGGATTTATAAGACAAAACTAGTATACGTAGAGCAAACATGACGAGTGCTACATAGTTAAAAATACTATTTACAACACAAGACATTTATAGATATTCGAGCAACAGCACAGGTAAACATGCAAAACAAAATTAGACTTTGTTTAAGAGATTTTTACAGAATGGAATATGAAACAGTTAAGAACATCTTGCAAATTTTTCTACTAAGCATTACTCGATTCGAATTAAAGCTGTTTATATGACACCAAAAAATGACCGTGAACCCAAAGTTTTCTGTCTTAACGAATTTGATCTATTTTTCATAAAATTTTGCTTTTCGTTTTTTAGACCATAAGCAGAATTGACCTGTGCTCATGCAATTAAATATTGTGAAAAGCGTACTGATACTTACAGGCTAGACAGGGAAGAGAAAAAGGTGACAAAAAAAAAATTATCAATAAATTTAAGCTTTTCAGAAAGCGAAACAAAAAAAGTCAGTTTACCTCGGTATTAGATCATCGCATAATTGTGATAGTTGATTTTGTTTGATTTTAAGTTCTTCCTAGAAT